TCTCTCTCTCTCTCTCTCTCTCTCTCTCTCTCTCTCTCTCTCTCTCTCTCTCTCTGTATAATTAGTATATTATATTTATTGTAGTGTATATTATTTTTATATATATAATTAACCTTTTGAGAACTTTATATTGTATTTTGATCCCATTCATCCCCTCCCCTACCCTTTTCCAAGTCATACCCACCCAACTTCGCATCCTCATTTTTATTTAATCCTAGTTGTCATGCTGGTTTGGTCTCTCTGAGCCAGAGTTTGTGTAGCTGTCAAAAAGGTGTTGGGAACACTCACCTCTCATACTAATGTAAGATCCATACAGCACTGCTAGTAGTCAATTCTTAAAAGAGAAAAATTATGTGCATTATATCACACTAAGATTCTCACACATTGTAAAATTTGGAGTACATGTTTATTACTGAGTATTTTAGTTTTTTAAGTAGTGGGATTCATTAAGAAAACGTCATACATGTATGTAAATCATTTTTAATCTATTATTTTGTATTATCCACACTTACCCTCCATCCACACGTAAGTCCTTCCTTTCCCACCTAGTGCCCTTTTTGCTTTTATCACTTTTCCCTCTAAATTATAAAAATGAAAGAAAATTTAAGATATTTGTCTCTTTTGTTTGGTTGGATTTTTAAAGCAGCATCTTACTGTGCTGGCAAAGCTGACCTTAAACTTCTGATTCTTTTGCCTTAGCCTCCAGAGTTCCAGGATTATAGGTATGTGTCGCCAAATCTGGCACAATACTTGTCTTTGTGCATACCACTTATTTCTTTTTGATATCTCCGATGTCTTTCTTTTCCTCTATTTTATGTCCTGATGGACATGTGGTATTTTCTTGGTCCTCAGGTGTTCAATATCCATCAGCTATTTGAAACCTTGCAAGGGTTGTTGCATGAGTCAGTACCCAGAAAGAATGCAGGGGCCAATCTATGTTCCCAGTCTATCAATGGAAGAAGAAGTCAGGAATTAAAAGGAAAGTTCACCATAGTATCATCTATTTCTAAGAAGCTGAACATTGCACTAAAGGAAATACCTAATTGAGGCAGGCATAAGATGTGCAGACAATTGGTGCTACAGGAACAAATAGTACAAGATGAAGGCCTAGGAAACTTTTCAGAAAAACTAGGATTTGATCTGGTGTTTAAATAACCCAAAGGACAGAGAGGAGCAGGAAAAAAATGAAGAGATTAAACTTCAGCCCTCAAAGTAGATGTAATACTAATACAAAGTGAGAAAATGCTTCTGGTTTGTTCCAGGGGACAAAGATAAATGTTTTAAATAGAAAGATTAGTATTTGTTGTTCCTATGCATTTATCTATTATTGCAATGTTTTCTTAGTATCTTGATGGAGATAGTGTAGTTGCAAGTTGAAGAAAATCATTATTTACATGGTTGAAGGAAGGGTTTTTTATATATTAAGAGCCAGGATAAGTAATTTTTTTCCATGCACTACTTCCAAGATACCTGCACATCTTGTGATAAGCATTGTTCCTCCTTTGCTTTGCATTCTTTCTAATCTTTCCTATAGAATTAGACATTTATGTTGGAAAGGATTTCTGTAATTCTCAGATGTGTTCAACCTTCTCTCCAGGCCTTCACACTGAGCCATAGTATCCAAACCAAATGTTTCTACACAATTTTGATTGGCTCTATAGAAAACACAGGCCAAATTAATGTCATTTGGAGTCTGAAAAACACATTTCAATGATCAAACACAGATAACCTTCATCTCTGGCAAAACAGCTCTAAGTACAATGGTTTGTCTCTGCATGTGTTCTGTCTCGGTGTAGACAACTCACATCTGAGTTTCACAATGACCATTTTCTCTTGTGTAAAAATAACACAACTTCTGTGTTTTGAATCTTAAAAATGAACAAAAGTGATTAATCAAACAAAATCACACACAGCAGGAATAACCTTTTACTAAACTACTTGGTGTTGATACCTACCTTGTTTCCATGCCCACATTGAAAACCCTCAATTCTCTCATGAATGTTTTATGCTCCACTTCCAGCTTGAATACTGACAAGGAAAAGAAAATGTCACACCTGCTTTGGTCTGCTTCAACACTCAAGCAATCTTAAGTGACATTCTCCTTCCAAACTCAAAGTTCATTGAGCCAGGAAGAACTAACAAATTAGCCATTGGTCCTGACACCTAGTTGATCTTTCCATCTGCAAAGGGGCAAATTCTGATGCAAAGGATTTCTTGGCTCTCCCTTTTCCCCTTGTTGAGTTTTATTTATTTCCTGCATTGATCTAACTTGGGCTTCAATCAATTCCCTTTCTATTTGTGTCATCCTGTTAAAAAGGTTAAATTCTGTTGAACCTAATGTCTTTACCTAGTTTCTGACTCCTATCTATCATGGACAGGATAACTGGGGATAGTCCATCTTCTCCTAATTTTCAACACAATTCCCCAAAATTGATTTTGCCTTGAGTTAGCCAGCCCTTCTCCTACTGGGAGATTGTAAAAAACTAGTAAAATGCCAAAACCTCCTTTAGATGCTGTTCTAGACTTACAAGCCTGTGTAATCATGGTCAGAAACTCCTATTGGGGTAGTACCCTTTGTTACTTGATCTACTCTCATATAGAAATTCAGAGACAGATCTTCATTGTATCCTTATATTTCCTCCTTTCTGCTGGATTTCCTCCTTTCAGCTGTTCTCAAAAACAATCCTTGATGATTCATACTCAATTTCCAAGTACAAAGACTGTCTTTGCAACAAAATCTATTATCACCAGTTTGATAATCAAAAACAGTATCCAAATACTCTTCTGTCCAGAGAATCACAGAAGGCTAAATGAAGTTTTGACCAATGTGGCTATGGGCATAGGCCTAGTAGATTTAACAAGCTGGAAAAAACATCTCTGGAGTAAGAATAACAGAATCATCAACAGAAAGAGGTTCAGAGTCAAAGGAAAAGGTTGGAGTGGTATCATTTCAAATGAGGACAGAGATTATCCTGTTAGCAAATGTTAAGGAAGATAGACCCAATGAGGCAATCAAAAGTGAATTCCTGAGTTAAGGATTCCCATAATTATTAGTTATATCCCAGTGCCCAGGAAAGGCACTGCATTTTCAAAAAGTTATCCAGACTCAGCTTTCACTTGCCCCAATAAAAAGAAAAAGCATTCTATATCTATTTGTTCTATTGCAAACTTGAGATGGGTTAGTTCTGCAC